CGCCAAATTCAAATATCCCATCAAAATCGATACGTTACCTGAATTATACTTTTAAATCAATAAATACTGTCAAATGTTTATGATACAAACGTTATAAGATAGAATTCAACAAGATGAACAATTCCATGCACTTTTCCTAACTAAAAAATATATCCTAATTAATACACCATTTGAACGAATATTCTAAAATTGTATTATAATTTACCCCAAACTCTTACGCGCAAAAGATATCAACGATTGTTCAGAGAAAAGCAAACGCAATTTAGTTTATCATGTACGTATAGAATGTAAACAGGTACCTTTCTCTATAATCAGGCGAATACAGTTGGTATGCCGAAAACGCAGATAATACGAACCGGATTTTTAGAGAATTACGGAACGCAAACCCCCTTCCAATCTTACATTTTTTTTCATAGCTATCTTCGCTATGAACGGCAATTGCTTCATGAGTAGTGGAGATACTAACGAAAGCGGCCCTCTTCGTAGATCAAATGGAATATAAGTAGGTTAACGTAATTTAGATCTTCTACATACTCGATTGGTAGGTATTGAAAATCGTTTCTACACGATAATCTGTTGTTGATATGTATGGAAAAGTACTTATGGAACAATATTTAGCACTTTTCCCACTAAATGTTAATAACTAAACGCCAGATAAAAATACGTTAAGCTCGCCTTGCGTACCTCGACCTGTCTCTCCAATCTGAAGGTGCGCAATCGTCGTCGTCAAATCGACCCAATTTAACCACAGACACTTTTTCAATACTACCTTCACTTATGCTAAATGTTCCTACGTTTCTTTTGGTGATAAATCCTTGACAATAATATTGTCTAAATCGATTCATAGAGAGCGCTTCAATCGGTACTATAATGCTCCATCCCAGATAATTAATGGCTTCGTAAAATAACCATCGGCGTTCGTTGGATAAATTTGATTTGGCTGAATTGTAGAAGTAACCGAAGACGACCAATTTCAAGCATGTAATTCAAAACTATAGCCAGACAATGAGGCTACAACGAATGATTTGGAACGATTAACCCATTGATAAATGTAGGGAGGTCATGAAACCTCACTTTTATTCCAATCAACAAAATGAAAACTGGAAACTACCATGAACATTTGTTTAGGGAAATGTTTCCAGAACCTTGACTCTTTTATCACTTAGAAATTTTACTTCCGCGTAATTCGACGTAAAAAATTGCTCAAATAAATGCTCTCGTTAAAATCTGGATCATTTACTGCCATTAAAGCGTTTCTCAAGGCAATCGAATCTAGTGGAACCCTCTTTTTTACACATCTTGCCACGTGACATTGCTGCATAAAATAGTGAAATAGATAAAAAGGTACCAGATATGATCATGTTTCAAGGTGCAAGAGGTTTGCGCGCACGTCATCGGTGTATTATGACGTCATCACTAAGTATGTTTACATAGCATCATGCAATCAATGGAGAAGAAGACGTTTGTAGGCAGCCATACAGACAGTGCCGCATTTTGGGTAAGATACCCATTGCATCAACGACTTTTATTGACCAATTACTAAAAAAATGTTTCGGTAGTTATTTGTAACAGGTTGCCGATGTCTTTTACTAACAAGGTGGACACCTCTTTCTCGTTAAAAATAACAAATAAGATTAGAAATAATTCGCGTACTTTTTCTTAGTCAACCCGATGGCATTTTTGGGTTATACATCTTTTGGTGCAGAATATCGCAGTGAGACATACGGACGTTATGCTTCTATATTGTTCTTTATGAAACTAGCTGGTTTTTGACCGCCTAATGTAGCACAACGTGATAAAATAATGAAACCGGTAGTAAACAGTCGTCATGTTTGACGTGTCGCAATGTAAACGTAAACTACTACAATTTCGATTGACTATAACCTGAAAACAAACACTAAAGGTTTTTGTGAACCCATATTTTGTGAAATAGGTAGGTTCATTGATCAGTCTAACGTAAACACTTCAACTTTCAACGTTTATTGTGGTTTACAATGATTTTTTTTATTTGGTTGATACGTTAGCATTACAATATTCCCAAAAAACAGAGTTGATGACGTGCGCGTAAACCAGGCATGGGCAACGTTTTTTCCAAGGGGCCAAAATAACATTTTTAATATGTGCCACGGGCCACAGTTGTAAATCCAAATAAAAAGTATGTTTAATGAAATCAATATTCATCTATTTCTTTTTGGTCTTGAACTATTTTTTGTTTTCATAAAAATCATTAAAAAAAACAAGTAGGTACTCATGAAAATTGACATGATTTTCCATAAAACATTTACCAGGGGTGGATAATAAATCCCCATATTCAGCTTGTATTCAAATTTTCATTCATGCTCTTACGATTTGTTGCAATATATGGCTTAAAAATGTTGCTTAATCCCAAAACACGTGTTGTTTTATTACTCCACCGCCACCCGGTATATATCGCGACGAAAATTCTGAAAAATACCTGGCGATATCTCTGAAACAAGAAATGTATTTTCAAAGAAGCTTTCAAATGTCTTGGAAGCTACGGATTGCGTCCACTAGATGCTGCACGTGTATTAATTAATTAATTCGAATTTTTAATGAAACTTGCCGGTCCGTATTCCGGATTTGGCCCGCGGGCCGTGGGTTGCCCGCAATACCTGGCGTAAACTAAGGAAAATCTTACTTTAGTTACTTTTGTACCGCGAAAACGAGGTATCTTCTCACTGTAAAATCGTAAAAGATATTTTAAAAGCCCGAAATCGTAATAGAGTAATTGGTTAGGCTCAAGGGAACAATCAACCTTTCTGTTTAGTCGTTAGATGACAAAACTAGTATAAAAACCAAATCTTTTCTATAGGTACCTACACTATGCTCTAGGTCTCCACTACCTTTACTTCACTTCTGTGTTGCGGTCGAAAAATTCAGTTTTTTCAATGTAAAAAACGCGCGAATGAAAATACTAATCGACTGTTCAAGGATTTTTCCAAAATATAAAAAAAATATATTTGTTCCTCCCGCACTATCGCGACCATGAGCGGAGGCACATCGACAGTGAATTCTTAAAAAAAAAGCTTAGCCGCGTCAATTTTGGGTTTAAGAGGGGCATAATTAGCGATCAAATTGCCTTACTAATCTTTTAATGTCTAGAGAATACAAAAACATTAATTTTTGTTAATCATAAAAGATGCCCCCCTCGAAAATATATAATTAAAGTTTGGAGTATTTTTTTAAAAAATTCTGAAAAATGATAAGGTTTTAGACCTACGGCACTTCACAGCAACAGGTAATTTGAAACATGGACTAACATGAGCGCCTTTTATTCAAATTTCACACGCAATAATTGATCTTTCCGTTTCATACCTAATACCTAAGAAGGTCGTTTTTATAATCCCGGACTAGGCATAAAAACAAAAGACTATAGAGCAACAACAACATTTTATTTATAAATATTTTTCAAATGCATCAGGTAGGTAGATATTATTTTGTTTTTTTTCCTTAAAATGGCCCTCAACAGCTGCTATCATGGTCCCTAAATTTTGTCCCCTTTAGGTTTTTTGACATCCGGGAACCAAAAATTATCACTGGGTGCTAGATCTGGATTATAAGGTAGATGTTCAATTTCTTCGAAACCAATCAGCTACAGCAGCTTTTGAAAGTCTGGACTTTTGCACGGGTGTACATATTGTCGTGGAGCAACCACGGATATACCTTGCGTCAGTTTTACGCGCCTTCTTCACTTTGATAGCATCTCTGGGACGATGCATCACGTTTGCATAATACTCTCCCGTTACCGTACTACCCTTATTCAAATAATCAATCAGCAAAACTTCCAAAAAATTGTTGCCATCATTTTTCTTCCTGCAAGGGGTGACTTTAAACTTCTTGAGAGGGCGGAGCCCTTACAATGCCACTACAAATAGTTGACTTAGGGCCCGTTCTACAATTACACCTATTCGCAGAATAAGATATTCTTCGAATAACTGCCATAGCAACAAGTAGGTACTCCATTGGTTGACCCAATGGTAACCAACGCAACCGTCGATGTTTATTCTAGGAATAGGTTATTCTCGATATATACCTGCGTTGTAGAATCGGCTCGTAGAAGGGCAATCATCACCGTATACAGTCATAACATTTCTTCAGCAATAATTTCTGTAGGTTTTCCCTGTTTTATAAGGATTTTATAACAGCCCGTTATTGTATTTTATTCATGTTGATAATCTATACAACCAACGCGCGACGACACAAACTGGCAGATAATAAAATTAGTTAATATACCTAATGTTGCAATTGTTTTGTAAATTGCCACACAAGTTAAGTACCAAGTATACCTAAAGATGATGGCGTGGCCCAAATTTTGCAATTGGAAAATCAAATTTAAAGGCTATAGGAAGAATCCTAAGCGATCTCGCAAATTATGACGACTGATGTGCTTCATATTAGTAAGTAATATAGTATCGATTGAGCGTTCAAGTGTATAAAATCTATGCGAATCTAAAAATCCAATGGACTCAGATCATCCTAAGTATAGTCATCGCGCGATTCACGAATGACAACTAATCGTACTTATACCTAAAGATTGGTGATGCCTAAATTAATTTGCTGCACTCATAACTGTTTACGAATCGATTTGAATTTCCAATTTCGTACATTGCCCGTTGTATAACTTTAAGCGATAGACCACGAATCTTCCCAACTTGTCTAAGTTCGTTGATGTATCGATTTCGATTTCATAGTGGCACAGTTTCTTCCGCCAGTACTAATTTTTCTCTCAAAAAAATGAGCTTTATTAAATTCCTTCAATTTGAATCTCTAGGAAACCCAAATCGGTTAATTAAATAAGTTTCTACTAAAACACGTCTAATTATTAGTTGAAGAATTTTCAAGTTGAAAAGAACAAATTATGGAGTTTTAAATATTCATTAGGCGAAATTAAATTAGAAACAAAGATGAAGCCCTCAAATTAGTTATATTTTCAAATTTTAACTATAATTTAATTTTAATAAAGTTGTTTCTTGTTTCAGGCAAGTGGTGTCCGAGGCGGGAATGGTCGACTCCTCCAGACGCTCGAGCGGCGAATGATGCCGCAAGAAGAGGCGTCCTCTACTCGTCCGTCTTCCTCGGAAGTCCGGGTGAGTACAGCACAAGCAGTAATAGGTTAATTTCATACGAAAACACATGTTCCGCCAATTAACGTCGAACAAACGATTTTAAATTATTCCTCCCAGGTTTCCCGCGTGCACGGTAGGTGGGTACCTGCAGCAAGAGATTCTGTCTGTACATGCTGAATGTGTGTGTGGGGTTTGCCGTTTCGGCGGTCACCGTGCAAAATAACAATCCATGATCCGAAAAATTGCTTTTGCCATTTCATCATTCCCGTTGCGATCCCCTTACCGCGTCCATCAAGTCTGCCGCATTCCACGTTTTTCACGGAGTGGGGCGCCAACTGTGAGTGCGAGAGAGACCTTTATATGTTGCTATAGCAACGGCCACATTCCCGCCTCGTGGCCATGGATACCACCAGCGCAAGCGCTACGCAAATGCAATCTGGTGTTAACTAAAGAATGGCGAATGTTGCCAGAAAGCGGCATTGGAAACCTGCGTATTTCTATTTTCTTGCAATATTTTATGTAGGTACCTACGGGTTTATAATATCGTAGGGAATGCATGTAGAAATTCAACTTGGCTTCCAATAGAGGAGACTTGCATTATACCTGTCATAATCTAAAAAAATATTAATAAAACTCCGGCGTAGTGTTAGGCTTAAGATAAAGTAGCTTAAGATTATTTAGCACGTTTACGAGTGGGTATAAATTAGAGAAAATACCCACTTTCGGGGATTAACACCGACCCTCGTAGGTAATTTATGGAATTAGTTTTAGAATTGATAATAGAATGTATTTCCTACTTTATAGATATTAAAAAAATAATGCCCTTCAAGTTGATTATAGAAGCTCCTATTAGGTATAGGCAATCTTTCACTATTTACATAACATAAAGAATTGCGACGTGAAATCGCGATGTCCTATCGATTACAAATGAAATGAAACCAAACTCGCTTCTTTGATCTATTTCTACCTATAGGTATAATTTAGTTGTTAATTACATTTGCTTCAGATCAATAGATCAAAGAAAGTGTAAACTTACCTATCTACCTAATTTTCATGAGGATACGACCACGAATTATATAATTAAGTAGTGTTACACAATAAGACCACACCGATGGAATTTATGCTCTTTTAGTAGATTAAAGCGTTGTGTTTTCCTATCGAAAATACTAATTAATGTTAGTCGCCTAGATGATTACCATCACGTTCGATCGTCTGTAATGAATCCATAGATTGATTTCGATTGATCAATTATTAGTACACGATCACTGTATGTAGGTAACTAAAAGAAATTCAAATTTTTGCCAAGAAAACTTCTAAAGCAATAACATGCAATTAGGCAAGCCTCCAAATAGCTTTCAGTTTGAACGTTTGATATCAATAGTATAAAGTGTTCTATTGAAATGCCATAAATAAACCATATACAGGGTGATTCCTATAGTACCTGCCACCGTTTGGGAGCGTGTAGGTGGTGCGTAGGGGAGTATTTTGATATAGGACACTTGGGGTCGGAAATCTGAAATAAGGGTGCCAGAGCCAAATTTACCTTCTGGAATTTCGCGCCTGTAGGTAGGCAACCCAACCGGCCGGCGGTGCACACGGAGCGATCTCAGGCGGCGGTGTGTGGCTGACACTTGATCAGAATTTTGTTTAAACCCACGAAATCCCGTCTGCAACGACGCGTATCAAGTGAATAAACACTATGGCAATAGTATAATAATAGTTGGCTAGATTTAGGAAGTGCATTGAGAACAACGGTGGCCACGTTGAACACTTGTAAACGTTATTGCTTTTGACTGTCGTTTTCCCTCCTTTCCTCCCATGTCGCTTCCTCGCGCTAACTCGCTCTGCATCGCTCCGCGCGAAACGTCGGTCGGTTGGGTTGCCTACATACAGGCGTGAAATTCCAGAAGATAATTTGGTTCTGGCGCCCTTATTTTAGATTTCCGACCCCAAGTGTCCTATATCAAAATACTCCCCTAGGCACCCCCTATACGCTCCCAAACGGTGGCAGGTACTATAGGAATCACCCTGTAGGTATACTTGTAGGTTGCCTACCGGTAGGCAGATTTGCATCTTCAGCAAAAATTGTAGGATACTACCAATACATTTTCTTATTTCTTTAGAACGCCTATACACTGAGAAAAAAATTCTATTAACGTTAATATATACTCAAGTCTAATTTTTGCCCAGCTATAGAATGTTATAATAGGATGCTTCATTTTGTGTATTTTATAGGTATAGTACATAATGCGGATTTACAAAAGCGGCAGAGTATAGTGTGACCCTTCGGGGTCGTTTCCATTTTCAATAGGCTTGTTACATGCGGCATAGGTATAGGTGTAGATCAGCTATGCCGAATCGGTCCAAACGTTTGCCAGTTATCATGTTCACAGAGAGACAGATTGACAGGCAGACAATATATTCATATAGGTCAACTGAGCAAAGTGGTACAGTTACCTATCGTGTTCACAGATAGATAGAGAGACACTACCTATCAACTCCTCTCATAAGCTTGCATCGCTTTTTCCAATCAATAATCACATACTTACATAAACTTTCTTTTTGTCATTACCGGCACCATCTTCACGGTGACTATCTGAAATGAACTTACTACTGTACCCAATTGTCTCCTTTTGGCCATCTAGTGCAGAAAATGCCTACTCCTGTTTATTCTCTTGGTGGACATCCGCGCGTGTCTGTTTCTTCTACTTTCTTTTCATTTTTATTTTTGCCCATCATCTTCTATTGTTTTCCTTAAAACTTAATTTTCGCTCCTCTTTATTTTTCTTTAGGTAGGTAATAGATTTTCTAAATATGTTTTTTGTAGGTACATTCATGACAAACATATTGTAATGGATACGGTTACAAATAATTCTTCTACTCTCTGGTTATTCTTCATGCAACTTAATTAAATAGGGGGTGTGGTTCTTGTTATGTAATTATATGTAATATGGGTCGGCTGCCAGTCAGTGATTCTCTTCTGGCTCGATAAAGTATACACACCAGGTATACAATAAAAATAAAGCGAACTGCAATAAGGTTAATATGCTAAATGACTACAACGCAGTTTATATTCTAAAACGAGGCGAAACCTACGAAAAGGGAAATAACTACGAGAAGCGGCAATACTAAGACGCGATTAAACGTTCATAATGTTTGTGCACCAGGAGTTTTAGATGTGTTCTGATCACGGCTTTTAATCCAAATGGATATGACTGGCACCCCAGCTGCACGGACCGTCTATACACTTCTCGCTGACTGTCTCTTCAATGTGGAACTGAAATTGGCGTCGCAGCTGCACGGACCGCCTACAGAATTATCTAGTTATTGGACAACCCTCCACCGAATAACGCAGCCATCCCCCAACTGGGATTAGACCGGAATTTCCAAGCGAAGGGTTTAATTAAATACTGACGTTTCGCTTAGAGTTAAACACCAGGAATAAGCACATAGAGACATGGTGCGCTGAGTTTTCTCATGCCCTTCGATTAAGTACGTGAGTGAATCTTTCGCCAACGTGCGAAATATCTAGCCGCGGAGCCACCGTCAACACTTAACCCGCGGAACGGCGGACTCATATTCCATTCCCCTTAACGCCGCCACGAGAGATTTTAAAGCCGTGCGTGATATTCGTATTGTGGTTTGAACTTTGTAACTTTCTTTAGTCGGTTAGCGTGTATATCTTTTGTTTATAAGCACCCGATGTTCGTTGTACCTATTCGTTAGCTCGTTGTATATGTATACAGTGTATTTGTGTGTATTGTTTTTTCCTATGTCTACTTTTGGACGATAAATTCTCTTCTGAAGGACGCCTAATTTTATGCAACCAAAATAACTTCGTACAACAAATGAAAACTTGGCTGTCATTAATTATGTAACTTGAATGTATTCAACTGAAGAAAAAGTTGATATTGTCAATTGGTATAGTGCTGGTAACAGTTTAAGGAGCGTAAGGGTCGATCACTTTAAAAAATTAAACCAATCATAAAATAAGTAAAATAAATTGGAAAAAAACATGGTCGACATGGAGAATTTAGACCACAATGTCTTTATACAGTCACTGTATATTTAATACAGCGACTTTATACGAAACAGTGACGTCAATAGAGCGTCCAATTTTTGATTCGTTGTTAAGATCGGTGGCCATGGTGCATCGAGTTCATATAATATTGTATTGTAATATACAGGGTGATTCCTATAGTACCTGCCACCGTTTGGGAGCGTATAGGGGGTGCCTAGGGGAGTATTTTGATATAGGACACTTGGGGTCGGAAATCTAAAATAAGGGCGCCAGAACCAAATTTATCTTCTATGTAGGCAACCCAACCGACCGACGTTTCGCGCGGAGCGATGCAGAGCGAGTTAGCGCGAGGAAGCGACATGGGAGGGAAGGAGGGAAAACGACAGTCAAAAGCAATAACGTTTACAATTGTTCAACGTGGCCACCGTTGTTCTCAATGCACTTCCTACATCTAGCCAACTATTATTATACTATTGCCATAGTGTTTATTCACTTGATACGCGTCGTTGCAGACGGAATTTCGTGGGTTTAAACAAAATTCTGATCAAGTGTCAGCCACACATCGCCGCCTGAGATCGCTCCGTGTGCACCGCCGGCCGGTTGGGTTGCCTACCTACAGGCGCGAAATTCCAGAAGGTAAATTTGGCTCTGGCACCCTTATTTTGGATTTCCGACCCCAAGTGTCCTATATCAAAATACTCCCCTACGCACCACCTACACGCTCCCAAACGGTGGCAGGTACTATAGGAATCACCCTGTATACACCACATGTCATACGTGTATTGTGTTTTGCCTACTTCTAATTTGAATGTTCCATGCAACATGGCGGTTGGGCTCCTATTGTCGCCACTTCTCTATAAAATCACTGTATACCTAAGTGTGTCACCAATGAAATGCATACGGTTTTTTGTTTTGTTTACTGGGCTTAATTTATTCTCTTTAGAACTTTGCCTCGGTAACAATGAAGTAAATATTTACTCGAATAAGAAAATAATGAATC